AGGAGGAGGAAGATCAGGAGGAGAGAGAGTTGGAGTGGGAGGAGGAGGAGGAGGGGAGGGGGAGGAGGAGGAAGAGGCCTCCCAGACAGCTCCAAGATAGCCGAAGAGGCTTCCAAGAGGGCCCTGCGCGGCCCACGAGGGCCCCAAGGCGGTGCCTGAGGCGCCCAAGACGGCCCGAGAGGGCCCCAAGACGGCCCCAAGAGAGGCCCAAGAAGGGAAACACGAACCGAGAATCCGAGCTTTCTACCCCGAGAGGTTCTCGGGAAGTCCCAAGAGGCCCCCAATCGGATCCAAGAGGCCCCCAAGAAGCTCCCAAGAGGGCCGACGAGGTTCCAAGAGATCTCCCAAGGTGGCCCCAAGAGGCACAACTCATAGTTTTACGATTGGGCTTTGACGGGTTTAAATGTTTTCGGCCTTTTGGCGTCCCGATGCTCCAAGACGGCCCAAGAGGCTTCCAATACCGCTCCCATATAGAGGAAGAGGACTCCAAGAGGGCCCCAAGACGGCCCGCGAGGGCCCCAAGACGGTGCTTGAGGCGCCCAAGACGGCCCGAGAGGGCCCCAAGAGCCCCAAGAGAGGCCCAAGAAGGGGAACGCGACCCAACAGCAGATCGGTCCCCCCACAAGGCACACAGGAGGCCGCAAGAGGCCCCCAAGTGGTCCGACGAGGACCCCAATAGCTTCCCGAGGGCCTAAGAGGCCCCTAGGAGACGTCCAAGAGGCTTTAAGATAGCCCAAGAGTGCCCTCGATGCGTCAAAACTGCTTCCAGGAGGCCCCCGGGAGGCTTCCGGATTGCCTCAATCTGGCCGCAGGTGGCCTCAAGTCGGGCTTCCACGCAGCCAAGACGGCCAATGACGGCTTCAGATTGCAGAACCGATGCCCCCAAGGGACCCTCAGACGCCCCCCCAAGAAGCACCCAAGAGGTGCCTCCAACAGCCAGTTGACGAAGCATGCGGAACACCCCAGAAGCTCCTCAGATGCCGTCGCGCGCCTGTGCTTGATATCGTTGTCCAAGATCGTCCAGCGCCCCCCAGGCCTGGGCTAGAACCTGAGCGCGCGCGAAGCGCGTGCGATGGTTCTAGTGTATATATATACACACATATATATATATATATATATATATATATACATAGACCCGTGCACAAGGCCCGGGCGCCCAGAGCCCGGGGCTCGGGGGGGCGTGGGAGGACATGGGTTTCCAAGACCGCTCCCGGACCATTTCGGAGGGGCCGTAGAGCCCCCAGATTGCCCCAGAGATCTCCAAGACGCTCCCAGAAGCCTCCAGGGGACTTCGACAAGCCCCTCCAAGACAGCGCAGATAACCCCAACGTGGCCCCAGATGGGTTCCAGACCGGAAATGCACAGCCCAAGAGCCCTCCGAGAGGCCTCAAGAGACCTCCGAGAGGCGTCCCGAGAGAGCCCGAAGAGGCCCAAATCCTTGATGTTCGCTGTTTTTGTTTCTTGTTTTTCGGTGTCTCGTTTTCGACCTTCCGACGCTCCACGACAGCCCAAGACCGCCGAAAAGGCCCCCAAAAGAGCCCCACAACTGCCCCAGGGAGCCCGAAAATTGCCCGGGACGAGCCTCAGACGGCCTAAGAGAGCCCCATGACAGGCCCAAGCTGGGCCCCAGAGCGGGAGCGGGAGGCCCTAAGGCGCTCCAAGACGGCCCTGATGGCCCCAACGTGGCCCCAGATGGGCCCATCACGGCCAATACACAGCCCAAGAGCCCTCCAAGAGGCCCCAGGAGAGCTCCGAGAGACGCCCTGAGAGAGCCCGAAGAGACCTATATCCTTGATTTCGGGCCGTCTCTTCTAATTCCCTACCAGGCTCTGCCTAGAAGGGTTCTTACTCTGTGGGCTTAAAAGGGGCCGGGCAGTGGGAACCGGCCCGGGCGGTTCCCCCAGGATCCGCCCCGCGGTTCCCCCAGTTACATCCCCTTAGCTTAGTGTTGCTTATCTCATCTTAGCTTAGCCTAGCTTAACTTTAGCTTAGCTTAGCCTAGCCTAGCTTAGCTTAGCTTAGCTTATCTTAGCTTAGCCTAGCTCCGCTTAGCTTAGCTTAGCTCAGCTTAGCTTAGCTCAGCGCAGCATTGGCATAGCATGGCATAGCATAGCATATCATATCATATCATATCATGATATAGCATATCATAGCGCATCATAGCATAGCGCAGCATAGCATAGCATAGCATCGCGCAGCATACCATAGCTTAGCTTAGCTTAGCATAGCACAGCGCAGCCTAGCATAGCATAGCATGGCATAGCAAAGCATAGCGCAGCATAGCATAGCATAGCATAGCATAGCATATCATAACATAGCGCAGCATAGCATATCATGTCATAGCATCGCATAGCATAGCGCAGCATATCATATCATAACATAACCTTTCATAGCATAGCATAGCGCAGCATAGCATAGCATATGATAGCATAGCGCAGCACAGAGGAGGACGGCGGTTACCGTTACTACTACTGTTGTTCTCCTCGGGGCTCCAACTCCTAGGTAGGGTCGCTCTGGGATAATGTTTTTCGCTTTCTCGCGTTCTCGAGCTTCCAACGCTCGAGCACGGCCGAAGACGTCCCCAAGATCGCCCCGAGACCGCCGAAGAAGCCCCCCAAAAAGCTTCAAGACGGCCCAGGAGAGCATGAAGATTGCCCAACAGCAGCCCAAGACTGCCCACGAGAGTCCCAGGACTGGCCTAAGCTAGGCCACTGAGCGGCAGCGGGAGGCCCAAGAGGCCAGGCTTCCAAGAGGGCTCCAGAGGGCTCCGAGAGACGCCCTGAGAGAGCCCAAAGAGGCCCGCATCATTGATCTGCGTTGGTTTGTTTGATGTTTTTCGCTTTCTCGCGTTCTCGAGCTTCCAAGGCTCGAAGATGGCCGCAGACGCCCCCCAGACCGCCCCGAGACCGCCGAAGAGGCACCCAAAAGAGCCACAAGACGGCCCCAGGGAACCGGAACATAGTCCAGGAGGAGCCCCAGACGGCCCAAGAAAACCCCAGGACAGGCCCAAGCTGGGCCAAAGAGCGGGAGCGGGAGGCCCCAGAACGCTCCAAGACGGCCCAGATGGCCCGGGCCTCCCCCGTCCGTCCCTCCTTCCCTCCCGCCCCCCCCTTTGCCCCCATTCCCTCCTCTCTCCTTTTCCTCCCCTCACCCCTCAGCTTTCGTGCTTCTCCCTCCTCTCCTGGGACGGCCCCGCCAGAGCGCCAGACAGGCCCCGCCAGAGCGAGCGGGGCATCGCTATACCCTGTCATTTCACAAGTTGCTTTCCCCCTCCTACCCCTCAAAGGCGGCCCCGGCAGAGCGAGAGTCTTCAAAGTACGCGTTTCTTTGTGTCGATGGTCGATGGTATGGGCCCGAGAACGATGGAAATCGTCGTCGTGACCGCACCGGGGCTTACAGCGCGCGTAGCGCGCGCGTGGTTTTAGTGTATAGGTATATGTATGTGTGTATGTATGTATGTATGTATGTATGTATGTATGTATGTATGTATGTATGTATGTATGTATGTATGTATGCAATGTATGTAATGTATGCAATGTATGTAATGTATGTAATGTATGTATGTATGTATGTATGTATGTATGTATGTATGTAATGTAATGTAATGTAATGTAATGTAATGTAATGTAATGTAATGTAATGTAATGTAATGTAATGTAATGTAATGTAATGTAATGTAAATGTAATGTAATGTATGTATGTAATGTAATGTATGTATGTATGTATGTATGTATGTATGTATGTATGTATGTATGTATGTATGTATGTATGTATGTATGTATGTATGTATGTATGTATGTAATGTATGTAATGTATGTAATGTATGTAATGTATGTATGTATGTATGTATGTATGTATGTATGTATGTATGTATGCATGCATGCATGCATGCATGCATGCATGCATGTATGTATGTATGTATGTATGTATGTATGTATGTATGTATGTATGTATGTTCATATATATACATATATAACACTGTATGCACGTGTGTGTGTATGTGTGTGTGTGTGTGTGTTTGTGTGGCGGACTGGCCCCACGGTACGTGGCATGAACACTTGTGCTTGCCCGTCGGTGCTCCCCTCCGCGGATGCGGGTTTGACGGGCAACGTTAGAGCGGGATGGGGTCGGGGGGGACACGTCGACCCCCAATCGCCCGTCGATCGCCGATAGGTGCCAAGTCGCCCACCGCGCTTAGGAGCATACGGTTTCGCAATCGGGGCCTATCGCCGATTTGTCGGCGATGTATCGCCGATTCAAGCCCGACGTTCTTGGGCTAGTCCCCCCTGGCAACGCTGCCCTCCCCCCGAGGGTGCGAAGACCTACGCGCGCTCGTAGGGTGTCGGCCACGTCCTGTCTCGGGGCGTCGGGCTCCAGGGCGGGGCGCTCGAAGAGCAGCGAGCGCCGGTCGGGGTCGTCCAGATCCTTTCGCGGGCCGCAGGGGGCAGAAGGGGGAGGAGGAGCAGAGGGAGGGGGAGGGAAGGAGGAGGAAACGGGGAGGAGGACAGAAATGAGGAGGGTGGATGGGGGGGGAGGGGGAAGGGGGTGGAGGGGAGAGGGAGCAGGAGCAGAGGAAGGAGGAGGCGGAAGAGAAGTCCAGGAGGGACCCCCAGAGTCGCCTGGCCACCTTCGCGGGCCGGCGGTTTCGCCGCCGCCGTCCGCGGGCCGTGACTGGCTCGGGCGCGTCCTCGTGCCGTTGTCCCCGTGACCCCGCCGGCTCGCCGAGACCAGGCCTTCCCAAAGAGGCCTGGGCTCCCAGCCCCCGCTGGCCCTCCAGAGGCTCGCCGGCTCCCGTTGGCTCTCCAGGGGCCGCCGGCCGCGATCTGTCTCGCGCGGCGCAGTGGTGCCGCAGCGGGCGGCGGCCACGGCGACAGTGTCGCCTGTCTGCCGCCAGAGGGGACGCCGTGGCGACGTCACTCGGCCGCTGGAGGAAAGCTGCCCGCCGACGCCGCCGCTTCCGCCGCTGCCGCTGTCGGCGCCGCCGCCCGCGCACCGCGCAGGCGTGGCCTGCGCCATCCTCGGCGGCCTCGGCGCCACCACGCTGGTGCTCGCGGCGCGGGCCGCCAGGCGGCCGCCCCGCCCCGCCGTCGGCGCTGGCCGCCTTTCGGACGTCGCCGCCGCCGCCGCTGCCGTCGTCCTCGGAGCTCGAGGAGGGTCCACGGCTTGCAGGGGGGAAGCGACAGGGGGGCGGGGGGGGGCGGAAGGGAGTAGGGACGAGAGACGGTTCGGGCCGCCTCGCTCGGTGGCTCCTTCCGGAGGAGGAGGACGGAGGAGGAGGAGGAGGAGGAGGAGAGGAGGAGGAGGAGGAGGAGGAGGAGAGGAGGAGGAGGAGGAGGAGGAGGAGGAGGAGGAGGAGGAGGAGGAGAGGAGGAGAGGAGGAGGAGAGGAGGAGGAGAGAGGAGGAAGTGGAGGAGGATGATGATGACAAATATGGGTGGAGGAGGAGGACGAGGAATAGGAGGGAGCAGGAGCTTGACTGCATTCGGTGATCTTGCAATAGTGGTCCCTGGGCGGGCGCCAGGCGTGTCCAGTGGATGCCAGGGAGCTCCAGGAGGGGGGGGGGGACAGGGGAGGACGGAGGAGGAGAACGAGGCTCGCTTCGGCGCTTGAGGTGGCTGATCCGGCTCCGCACGGCAAGGCCTCTCAGTATCGTTTAACAAATCCCCATCCCCATCCCCATCCCTTTCGAGACCCCATCAAATTACCACCCCAGTTGAGGATACCCCCTCGAAACCCAAAGGGAACGATCTATATCCCCACCTGGGGGGGTAAATCGGCCAGTGGGGCCCAGGGCACGCCGCTGGGGATGGGGATCGGTTAAACGATACTCAGCCTCACAAGAAGAAACGGAACCAAACTGTATATCGCTATCTTGCCCTTGCCTCGTTTTCATCGTTTTGGGGGCCTCCGGGGAGGCCCTCGTCGCCATTGCTGGATTTGCTAGTCAGACCGCACCCAGGGAGAGGTCAGGGGAGTAGCGGTATGGAGGAGGATGGGGGGTATGGAGTCAGGAGCGACGAATCCATCCATATCCATGCCCTCGTGCGGGGGCATCCTCGCAAAGCCGCCCTGCATCCATGGGGGGGGGGCAGTGACGGCCGGCGGCGCGGCCCAGGGGTCCAGACCGCGAGGCCGTGGACATGGATTCTGTTTCCCGCCCGCGATGGGGTGCAGAAAAAGGCGTGTGAGTGAGGCTGTTTGTCGGGAGAGCGTTGGGAGTTTCATGTTTCAGTGGTGTCGGAGTCTCTGTGGATCCCTCCTCTCTCTTCCTCCCCAGTGGGGGAGGGCCCTTCCCCTCCTCCCATTTGTGGTTTTCTCGCTTGGTCCCTTCGGTCAGCCGGCATCGGGACCGTCGGGCTTGTGTTGCGGTCGTTCTTTTGGCCCTTCTCTGCCTCGCCCCAGTTGAGGGCCTTTTTTGTCTGATTTTTGTGGTGCTCCACACTTGCCTCATAGGAGGCATGTTAATCCTTACAGTCCTCAGACCCCTCTTCCCCCAGAGTGGACTGTGGATTGGTCGGAGATTCCAGTTGAGCTGGCGAGGCATGGGCCCGGCAGCCAGAGGGTTGGTTGGGCCATTCTAGCTGCACGTCCTGCGGCTGCTCCTCCCCTTCTGTCTACGGCGGACTCGTGCCGCCTCAGCACGTTTTTGTTTAAGGCGGGGGAGGGGACACGGACGGGTGTTCGCGGCTCTGTCGGTTCGGCTGCGTCGCAGTCGATTGCGCTCGGTCTATTCGGTGCGGTCGGTCAGTCGTTGCCGCGTCGGTACACCCTTTTTGGCTGCCTGCGGCCCATCGATTTCGTCAGTTTTTAGTTTCACTGTCGATTCGGTCGCTATCCGTAAGGGCTTCGCCCCCTGCCGCCGGCCCCCTCTCTCGGAGAATGGGCCATGGAAGAGCTAAGTCATGAGGCTTTGGCGCTGTCGTGCAGCAGTATCGGAACTTCATGCGAGGCCGAGTCGCAATCGGCAAAACCAATTGATCACAAGAGGGGTTACCACACAGGGCGATTGGTAAGACGTGTATGGTTTACGAGCTTGGTTACCACACCTTGGGATTACAGGGCCGAGGGAGTACTCGCAGTTTGGGTTACCACGCCTTGCGATGGATGTGCGTGAGGGGTGGCACCGAATTTCAGAAATGTGGCAAATCCCCTGTGTTTTTGGACCCTAACCCCGCGGATCTGCGTGAGGGGTGGCACCGAATTTCAGAAATGTGGCAAATCCCCTTTGTTTTTGGACCCTGACCTCGCGGATCTGCGTGAGGGGTGGCACCGAATTTCAGAAATGTGGCAAATCCCCTTTGTTTTTGGACCCTGACCCCGCGGATCTGCGTGAGGGGTGGCACCGAATTTCAGGAATGTGGCAAATCCCATGTTTTTTTGGACCCTGACCCCGCGGATCTGCGTGAGGGGTGTCGATTTTGAGCCCCCCGAGCAATTCAGACAACGCGCCCAGGTGGTGCTAAAAATCTGGTTTGGGCCTCCCTCCCCTCGCGCGGTCAATCAACTAGTTACAGTAACCAGCAAGAAGCAGAACTGTAACACTGGAAACTACAAACTACAACTGGTACAGGAAACTGCGAATCACGGGCCTACAGCCTGGTGGCCCCACAAGGGGGCTGGCTGATTCAGTTTTACTGTGTTCGTGGACGGCCTCGGAGCAGCGGGGGGTGGCGCTTCTGGGGATTGGGCCTCGTGGCAATGGCCAGACGCAGCTCGCCAGGCTATCCAGAATGGTGCCCGCGGGGGTCTGGGGATCGATTTTGAGCGCAGGTGGCCCTCGGCAGGTTCGCGCCTCCTCGACGCCGAGGCAACGCCAGCGCGGGTGCGCAAGATCGAGTCGGTATCGTTTAACCGCTCCCCATCCCCATCCCCATCCCCTTCGAGACCCCCACCAAATCACCACCCTTGTTGGGGATACACTCATCGACACCCGAAGGGAACGGCCTATATCTCCATCTAGGGGGTAAATCGACCAGTGGGGCCTAAGCCACGCCGCTGGGGATGGGGATCGGTTAAACCCGAGCCTTTTCTTTGGGTGGAGGGCAAAGGGTGAAATCTGAAATGCCGTTTCGATGGATTTCCGAGGCTTGAATCTGCAAAAGGTGAATCACAAGACGGATTGATCTTCGAGGTGCAGAAGCCCACCTGGATTTCACCGTGAGCTCTCCACACCAAGAAAATGCTTCGTGAACGATGCTCACCGAGGGGGGCCGCGTTTCGGGACCGCGGGGTCCACAGGAGAGCCATCCCGGGGGCGCAGCGCGCCGCCCATGGGGCCTCGGCGGAGGAGGCCCCGCGCCTCGGCGGAGGCAGGCCGCGGGGCGCCCGGAGCCGATGCCCGGGCGCGGGGGGGGGGGGGGGCGCCCAGGCCCGAAGCAGGCCGTCGCCAGCAGCTGCCCGAAGGAGGCGCGAGAGGAGGAGGAGGCGCGAGAGGAGGAGGAGGAGGAGGAGGAGGAGGAGGAGGAGGAGGAGGAGGAGGAGGAGGAGGAGGAGGAGGAGGAGGAGGAGGCGGAGGAAAAGGAGGAGACCCCTCCGAAGCCTCCCACGGCCCCGCTCGCCGCCGCCCTCCTTCCCGGAGGGCGGCCGCTCCGAGGGCACAGGGCCCGATTCCAAGCGGGCCGGGCCCAGGCACCCAGCCGCAGAAGTCCTCCGCAGATCTCGCGGAAAAGGGGTGAGTGAGCACCACACCTCGCCGATGCATCGGCGATGCGGCTTGATGTGGAGCCCGACTTGCTTCTCGCCGGCGTCGCCGATGCACCGCCGATCCATTGCCAGCGATGCATCGGCGAGCCCCGCGATCCTCCGGTACCATCTACTCGAACCCCATCTGGGAGGCTTCGGCGCGGCGTTGAGCGCGAGGTCTGCGCGGCGCGGCGTGGAGCGCGAGGTCCGCAGGTCGCACGCTGATCGAGGACGAGCGGCCACGCGGCGGTTGTCATGGTCGCCGCGGGCACGGCAGGCTGGCGGGCAATTGCCTTTTGCTGCCGCTCCCCCAGGTCTCTGGCGTCTCGATCCTCGACTGAGAGTGGTCTTGTTTTGTGCTTGTCCCTCTTGCTCTTGGTTGTCGAGTGTGTGTGTGTGTGTGTGTGTGTGATTGGCCTGCTGGGCCGCCTGCGTTGGCACTGGTACGCAGACAGGCGTCCGGGCTTAACGCCCAACTCCAGTCTGGTACGCGTTGCACCAGACGGTGCGTCAGCGGGGTTGAAACGCAACATGCACGAGCAGTGCAACCAGAATTTCCTTCAGCATCTGGTCCACGCCTTCACCGCGCACTCCCACTCTCGAGCTGCACCACCCTTTGGGTTGAAGGTAACAGCGAGTCGTTCGCGGGAGCCTGCGACCTTGAGACAATTCTTCCGAATCAAATGGTCCCATGTTTGATTTGATCTGCCCCGCTTTCTCGTGCCAGCCGCCTTCCGCAGCTCCAGGGTGTCTGGCTGAAACTCCGAATGCCTCACAGGATCTAGGCCAGGTCGGCTTCTAGCTGCCCCTTGTGACTCATCTTCCGTCTTGCGAGGCAGTCGCTGAGCTTCGGCTGCTCGGCGATTCCGAAAACAGTGGCCGTCGATATTATGTTGATGTACCTTCTGATGCAACGTTTCTGGAAGCTGAAGCTATCCAATATTCGTCGGTACAGACACGCAGCAAACATGGCGTGCATCAATTTGAACACCACGCATTCTAATTATGTACCTTCTGGGATCTTTTCAAAAAGGCATGAGGCCAAATCGCGGGCTGGGTTTGAAAGTGTTGCATGGCTGCTCCAAGTCTATGGCTCAGTTCAGAAGCATATCTCCCGTCGTTGGACAGCGTCGTGCAGCACAGGTAGACGATGGACTGCTTGTTGACGGTCTACGCGCCAGCGTTGTTCACGATGCCGTCTTCCATCCGCACCTGCATGAGCTGCATTTTCTTCCAGTTGAAGAGTAGGCCGAACTTCTCGACGAACGTCATGAACTCCTGCGCTGCACCCGCGTCGGCGCCCATGAGCAGGGTGTCGTCCGCGTGCACCCACGTCCCGAGTCCCGGTCCAGTTCCTCCGGCACCAGTCCTTCTCGTCGCTTCCGCAGTTCATGTAGGATTGTTTTCGTCAGAATTGACAAGAACGGTGACAGCGGGCACCCCTGGCAGATGCCGCATTCTTGCGCCCTTGCTTGCGACGTGGCGCCGATGTCGTCGACCACGAAAGCTCGGCTTTCATATATGGCAGCGACCCTGTTCACGAACCGGCCTGGGCAGCCACACCTCCGCAGAGAATTTGCCAGCGCCTCCCGCGACACGGAGTCCAAGGCTTACCTGGACTTCTTGGCGCCACGAGATAGTCGCGACGCCCAGTTTTTGTATTCTTCTTCGTCATGCAGGAGACTCGTCTCGGGCTTCGGGACCCTCAGACGACGATCTGGGGCGGCTCGAAACATGTCCCGGGAGTCTGCACCGAGAGCTCCGGAGGCCCACGTTATAAAACTCTGGGGGCCCTCGGTGTTTGCGTCGAGAGCTTTGATTTGTGCGTCGAGAGTCCTCGGGGCTGGCTGCGCGGACGTTCGTGCGTAGGTTGCCAGCGTTTGGGCGTGCGTACGCATTTCCTTTCCCACGCGGCGTGCGTCGTTGGCGACCCGCGGCCAGCAACCACGCAAGGTCGCCTCGGAGGAAGGAGACGCGACACGCGGCGCCATCAGGGGAGCCACCTCCGGCGAAGGGGTCCACGATGGCCCCCCCTAGCTGGGGATAGGAGACATCTCGAGCGAGAGTGGGGGGTCCCTCGCTGGCTCCTCGCGCTGGTAGCGGGGTGGTGGTGTCGCCTTCCTTTGTTCTTACCCCCATGGCCTCTCGCGACCGACCCCTGCACGTTCGTCCCTCAGGCAAGGAGACGGCTGTGACCCCGGAGGTCTGGGGGCCGCGCGCTGCCCGCAGGAGGCCCACCGAGAACCCGCAGAAGGGCAGACGCCGTCGGCATGTGCAGGCCGGGCGACCTCTCTTGCGCCATTGCCCGGGGAGCGGCATCTGCGAGCGCGTGAGGGCGCTGACAGCCCAAGCTCCACTTCGGTTCGGGGGTCCACGCAGTTTCCGCTGGCATGCCCCAGGACGCGCTCTGGTGATTAGGGTCGGCCAGGCGGCAAAGACGGGGGTGCCGACTAGGGGGCGGGGTGCTCACGGCCAGGGCCAAGAGATGTCCCGGGATGTCATGCTCCCCTCTTCCCATTTGAATATGGCCTTTGGTCCACGATTGCGACCCCTCTCTTGGACGCCCTCCTCCTCCTCCTCCTCCTCCCCTCCTCCTCCTCCTCCTCCTCCTCCTCCTCCTCCTCCTCTCCTCCTCCTCCTCCTCCTCCTCCTCCTCCTCCTCCTCCTCCTCCTCCTCCCACGTGGAGGTTGGGAGGCTGCCTGACTGCATTGGAGGCGGATTCGCCGATTTACCATTCGGACAGTCGCGGCTCTAATTAGCGCAGGATGGCCTCAGGAGGGAAGGGGCCCGTGCCGTTCCGGGTGGGGCCGGGAGCAGACGGGGTCATTCCGATCATGAGGCCGATGCTCTCCATCCCGACGTTGTCGATGCATTGGCGATGCGGTGCGATCCTATGGTTCCCTTTTGCCCCACTTGTGGTGCCTCCTGGGAGAGCGCCGACGCTCGTCGGAGACACTTATACTGTCGGCGCCCACAGCATCGGTTGTCGCCTCATTGTGGGCGGTGTCGGACAAGGTGCGTGTAATCCATGACCCGTTGGCGTGAAGGATTCTGCCTCGCAAGACTGTTTCAATGTCCTTGCGCTCTTTGGCAGGAAGGAAGCGAAGCACGGTCCAAGCAAAACAAAAGAGCATTGGTTGACACATGCAAAGGCGTTCGCGGGACCTGGCGTTGTGAAAAGCACACATGGGACGTGGTCCATCGGGTCCTCTGCGTTCGTGATTCTTATAAGGGCCCAGACGTCGCCAGATGCTACGAAGCATCTGATGTACACACTGAAGATGCATGAAGAAGAAATGCTCGGCCTCTGACGGGGGCCTCGCGAAAGTGAAGCGACAGCGAGGACATGATAACGGCGGCCACGACGCGCAAGATGCCAACACCGCCGCGGACTCCAACTAAACGACCGGGTCTGGGCCTGGTGGGCAGTTTACGAGCGGGCGTGGAGAAGCGCATCTTTGCCAGAGCTGGCTGAGCGTCGCCGTGTCCGTTCGCTGCATTCGGTGGGACCATGCAGGAGGTCACCCGCGCAGGCGCCAAGATTATCACGCCTCGCGCGTCGCGGCCTGGACCAAAGAGCCATCCATCTCCAGGATGACCTCGTGAGTGCGCGCAGAGACTCACCGTCATGGCATTGCGGGACGCGACTCGCGGAGTTGGGCGACCTGGGCACATTTCAAACACGTTGGGTAAGTCAGATAGCGACGGCTGGACCGGGGTTGGCGGCGCCAATGGTACACGGGCCGATTCCTGCCATTCTCAGGAGCAAGAGGCCATGATAATGAGAGGTTCCAAGATTTCCAGGTCTTCCAGGGTTTCTCAGATTCCCTGATGTTCCACCACATCGGCTTCAGAAACGAGGGCCACTGGATTGTCGGAGTGGGCGTCCCCCTGCCTGTGGCACAGCGCCCCTCGAAGGTCTCCGGGGGTCTCAGGGGGGCCTTACAGCCAGGCCGCTGCGACCAGGCGTTATTTTTCTTCTGGCGGCAGCGTGCCCTGGGCGGGTACACACCGAAGCATTCCACGTTCTGAGGTCGCTCGAGCCGTCTCGCGGCACCCCCTTCTTCCCTCCCTGCGCTACCCTTCCCGTGTGCCGAATTCGCTTCTGCCCCGCCGCGCCGTTAGCAGACCGCCAGCCGGATGCAGCTCGCCGAAGATCAAACAACGTCTTGGACGGGTGATGCCGCGCACGCTACGGGGCCGAGCGTTCTGCTCTTGAAGATTGCACGGGCGGATTGCAGCTTGGTGTGCATAGCGCGGGGCATGGCACAGGAGGTACGAGGAGGGCCCAGGAGAGAGAGAGGCAGTACCAGCCAGTAAGCAGCCTTTACCGATATGCAGTTTGAAGCAACCAGCCAGTAGCCAGTAACCGATTGATCATGTTCTGGCCCTTGAGGTCCGCATGGAGAGCCGTGCACTTCCTCTCTCTCTCTCTCTCCCTATCCGTCTGTTCTCCTTTCTTCCTTTCCGCCGCGGATTCAGAGGCGGCCGTTTCCAATTGTTCTGTCCTGGCCTCTTTCTATTTCCCCTCGCCTCGGATCCCTTTCCCTGTGGCTCTTTCTATTTCCCTGTGGCTCTTGAGGGTGCTTCAGGTTTTATTCCCAGGGCTTTTGAGCAGCGGCGACGTGTATTTGTCCCCCCCTTCTCCCTTACTCTTCCTGCTGCTGCCTCCGCCGCTGCTGCTGCTCCTCCTCATCTTTCCATTTCTCACTTGTGCTTCTCAGCTGGGAGTGGTTGCCACTAGAGATCGGCATGGCAGGCCCAAATCTGAACAGAACTGAGTGTGTGAGGGAGGAGGTCGGATAAGAGAGTAGGAGGGAGGAGGAGGGAGGAGGAGGAGCGAGGTGGGATGAGGAGGAACGAGGTTGGAGGAGGAGGAGGAAAAGGAGGAGGAGGAGGAGGAGGAGGAGGGGCAAGAAAGAGGAGCGAGGATACGGATCGAGGAAGGAGAAGCCAGCCAGTGAGTTGGTGAGAGCCCAGGACACTGCCGCCGAACAAATCGAAGGCATGCCAATGTTCGCCGTTGAGTACCCCATCCGCTCACGATGTTGCAGACGAAGAGGAGGCGAAATGGAGGAGGGGGAAAAGGACAGGAGGGATGAGGAGGAGAGTGAGGAGGAGGAGGAGGAGGAGGAGGAGGAGGAGGAGGAGGAGGAGGAGGAGGAGGGAGGAGGAGGAGGAGGAGGAGGAGGAGGAAGAGGAGGAGGAGGAGGAGGCTGAGGAGGACGTAGACGAGGAGAGGAAGAGGAATGATTCCGGGGGAGATGAGGGCGAGGATTGCACCTTGGAGTCCCTGCGAGCACTCGCCCCCAGGACACTCCAACAGCCTCCCCTCCTCCCTGGAGGAGCTGGTCGTCGTCCTCGTCGTCCACGCCAGTGTCGCCGAGGTCGACGTCGCCGACGTCGAGGTCGCCGCGCCATCGCGTCGTCGTCGCCTTTGACATCCGCCGATCTGATGTTTCAAATCGGCGGCCCCAGAGGTCTCGATCCCATCCCCGGGGATAATGTCTCGCCCTGGATCCAGTTCTGATGGCCCTGGGGCTGGAGAACGGGTACCAGAGTCCAGAGTCCGAAATCGAGGGAAATCGGCGAGATTGAAACAATCTCATCGTCAGATATCTGGAGTCGTCAAGGAGGAGAAGGCAGAGGAGGAGGAGGAGGAGGAGAAGAAGGAGGAGGAGGAGGAGGAGAAGAAAACGGCTGCACCTGACCTCAGGACAAAGGCCGCCAGTTTTCAGGCGTTCAGGAAGAGGCGCCGAGGACCGCTCAGACGTGCGGAGGCAAACTTCTTGGTTTGGCGAATGCGCACCTGATGCAACAAAGAGATCAAGAACACGGGACGGGGGAACAAGTGCAGCATCTCCGCATCGATGCTTATTGATCTGTTGTTGTCTGCTACTCTTCGAGATGCCAGAGGCGCCGCCGCCTCGCGCGGCGCGCGCGCTCGCGCGCTCGAGGCGTCGGGGTCCCGAGGCGGCCCCGCAGCCAGCGGAGGCGAGTCGGCCGAGGTGGACCCGCGCTGCGAGGCGGACGGCTGGTCGCAGCCGCAGCCAGGCGCGGAGGGCGCGCGCGACGACGACGAGTCGGTACAGTCGAGGTGGGTTCGAGGTTCGAGGATTTCTCATGCAATCGGGCCGAGGTATAAGATCGAGCTCGGTTCGGGGAGGGTGTCCTAGTGTTCCTCCTGTGTGCTGGATTTTCTTGCGCACCCTGGGGAGGATACCCTTGGACGTTCTGTGTTTTTTGGCTGGCGGAGGGTCTCATGTTCTTGGAAGATGTTCTGTTGGCCTACGTAGGTCCAACTGTACAATCGAGATGGGTTCGAGGTTCGAGGGTTTCGTGTAGTTCGTCGGTCCTTGACGGCTTTCCAGCCTCGGGCTACCTTCAGCGGCTGCGCCTCGCCGAGGGCGTTCCAGGGTTGCCCGGATCGTCGCGATCGGCTGCTGGACGGTCAAGTTATGACCCGACAGCCACTGGGCAGCCGGTCAAGCCGAGGGGGGGATTTGCCCAGGGGAGGGGCGCATCGACCTCCAATCGCCCACGCATCGCCGAGAGGGGCCTGACAGCTCACCCCGCCCGGGAGCGTGAGGATTTGCTTTCGGAGGCCTATCGGCGATGTAGCGCAGATTCCAGGTCGATGCCTCCCCGCCGGGGCTGTTCCCCTTTGTGGGTGCCCCTCAAATCATGACAAAGCCGAGGACGAAGACCGACAGCAATTCTTATCAGTGTTGAGCAGGACCCGCTCTCCGTGTCGCCGCGGAAGTGGTCCGTCGGAGGCACACGTGGCCAGACCAACAGCGGCCGCTGTTGGTTTTGGGCCACATTAGCCGTTGGGTCTCGTACCCATGTGTTCCATCGGGCGTGCCAACTGAGGAGGAAGTCTGCCATGAAGTATCTCGCGCGCGCTGCTCTCAGACGAGAGAGATGTAGTCCAAGGCCTCCCGCGTATCGAAAAAAACGAGACGGAGGGTCTCCTCCATTTTCGGCTCCTGGGATCAACAAGAACAGGCAGCATGCCAGTGCAGGACGCTGGCATGTTTGTCGCCCCCGCCGGGCGGACCAACAAAAGAAAAAAACAGGATGAGACGCGGGCCCCAGGGAATAGGTCGGGACCTTGCACCCCAGCTGGGGACACACACCTTGAAACCCGAAGTGAACGGCCTGTATTCCCATCTGGGGGGTCAATCGGCCATCGGGGCCCAGGCCACGTTCATGGGGATAGGGGTCGGTTAAACGATGCCCAGTAACTAATCAGATCTCTGAGGTGAGAACGGCACTGTTCGAGTTTTCCACGCTCTCTCCTGATGACCCGCGCGGCCAGAGGCGGCGAGTGAGCGCTAGGCGAGTACGAACGGCCGAGGGCCGCCAGACTATCCGGAATACCCAGGTCGCTTCCTGAGTGGGGAGGTCGGTAAGGGGTCGAGTAGTGGATCGTTTACAGAGCTGATTTAACCTCAAAATTGATTTTCGCGTCGAGTCATACGTAGAACGTCCGTAGATCTACGAACATCCCACGCGTCGCGTCCTACTGGACGCACGGCTAACTGACTGACTGACTTCTACGCCTAAACATTGGAGTCTGGGGCCCAGTGTTCATTTCGATTCTGGCATCCTTGGGGCGGCTGTCATGCTCGAGGGTCGTCGGAGGCTGGTCCAGGATGAACTGGCCAGGATGGAGCACCAGGGCCTTGCCTTGCCGCCATCGTCGGAGTAGGTCAGAACGCTGCTCCCGCTGTTGTGGGCGACCAGAGCCATTTTGCTTCAAGTGGGGGCAACAGTTGCGGGTTGTCAGAGGTCGATCCAGACTAATCCAGATTAAGACACCTAAGTCGAATCGCCACCCCCGTCGCTCCGCACTGTCAGCCCTCGGGCCCTCACCCCCTGGCATCCCAGACGGCCTGGGGCTGACCCAATTTGTCTGCCCGGCGGCGGCCGAGCTCCTCGGCCAGCTGTCAGGGGGCGACCAATTCGGTGAGACAATGTTTTTTTTGAACCTGCCCTGAACCACATTCATATATCGGAGGCGAGGGGGGTGAGATCGCAGAGAATCGGAGAGCCCCCCACCGGGGCATCGTGTTCGTGTCGTGCGCGCGGGCGAGGCGAAATTGCGTGGGCGGGTGAGAGGAATGAACCCTCCAGTATCCCCGGTATCGGGTGCGCGCTCGCGGCCCTCGCCGCGGCCACCCCTGCTTGCGGCGCTCGCCGCGGCGCTCGCCGCCCGCGGGGGCCGCAGGGCCCGAGCGGCGTGGCGGGGGGCGGGCGCCTCACTGCCTGCGCGAGGCCTGCTCGCGGCCAGCAGCGTTGGCTGTGCCGAGCCGCCGTGCCGCACGAGCCTCTCGCGGAGACGTGCACCGCGACTGGCCAGCCCTGCAGGCTCATTTGCGCGGTGGCGGTGCAGAACGGCCGAGGCGAGGCCGCGAGGGAGTCCGTGGGAGGTTCCGCGGCCCCCACCAGTTGTCTGAGCAGCAGCAGCAGACGAGCGCTGCACTTCTGGGGCCTGTTCGAGGCAGATCCTGGCTGGGTGGTCGAGTTGAGGCGCCGGGCATCGAGAAAGCGTGCCAACCCCGACAGCGACTGGCAGGAGTCTGCCTTGTGCCCACAGTCCAGGGGACAGCTGGCCATTGCCATTCCTCCTCTGACCCTTATCCTCCCTGCTGGCACTGGCCAGCCCTACAGGCTCATTTGCGACAGCTGCCTATGGATGTTAGACAAATACTTCTAGAGGGACGCAGCTCGCCCTATTCGATTTGTCGAAGAGGGTGCGGGATGGTTCTTCTTGGTCTCCAAAGCGAGGCACACCCCAAGCTGTGTGCCACCGCGGGGCGCGGGGCACCCCGTATGGGGCCGCACGGTGGCTCCAGACAGGCCACCTGCGTCTGCCAGCGAGGTTCAGCTGCCGAAGCAGCGCGCAGAGTTTTTCCGATCGTCGACCGGTTTCGATTCGGAGCTGCACTGCGATGTCTTGTCTTGCTTTGTCTTGTTTTGTCTCCTCCGTCCCTTCCTCTTCCCCCTCTGCTGTGAGCCACTTGACTCCTCCCTCCTTCGAGAGCCTCTCAGACTCTTCTGTTGGCTCCCTCCTCCCCTCCGCCGCAGCTTGGACTCGCGCGCGGGAGCGAGCCCCGAGCTGCCCACGTCCGTCCTCGGTGGCGCGGTACTATGAGAAGCGCTCCGCCGGACCCCCCCCCCGTGGAGGTCCGGACCAGTTGTTTTTCGACATCCTGGAGGCGTCCGCGGCCAGCACGGGGGCGGGGGGGGCGCTACGGCGGAGGCCCTGGACCAAGGCTTCCAGGGACTGGAAGGGCCTCACGGCCGGTTCCGCCGACCCCGACAGGGGGAATAGTGACATCATTTTCTGCCTGACGATAACGGGCGTGACCGAGGGATGAGGGGGGCAGGGGACTGGTTAGGTCACGATTCGCGCCAGCGCCGTCTTAGGACTTGCTACCTCTCACACGGCGCCGGCGCAAATCGTGACGTGACCAGGGGGGGGCAATGGGGGACGAGCGGGCTCGGTCACGGGCAAGATCGCGAATAATCAGAGTGAGGGGGCCGAACGGTGATTCATTGTCCTTGAGTGCGTGGCTGAAGTGGGCTTTTGCGGTGCGGATGGTTGTTGTTGTTGTTGTTGTTGTTGTTGTCATTGAACTCTCATTTCTGAAGAATACTTATTGTTGATCCCCCCCACCTGTGCATACTGATTAGTTTGTTCTCGATCAATGTGTGCCCCTCGACGCTCGCACCCTTTTCTGACAGGGAAAGTCTTGATGCTCAAACTGTGCCCCTGGCCCCCAGGTTACAACAACAACAACAACGGTACCCGCCTCAGACTTCCTCACAATTTAGCCAGGACCCCGCTCCCGCCCGAGACTTCCTCGCATTTTATTCCGGAATCGCGCTCTCGCTTGGGATTTCCTCACAATTCATGCAGGAATCTTTCTCCCGGCGCTCTGGAGTCGCGCTCTCGCTGGAGACTTGCTTGCAATTTACTGACGAATAGCGCCCTTGCATTGGAATTTCTTGCAATTTACATAAGCGCTTCCCGACACCCAGGCACCCAGGAGTCGCGCTCACACTTAGGACTCCTTCACAGATTACCTAGGAATCGGGATCTCGCTGCCCTTCGTGACCCCGTTGCAGCCCTTCGTGGCCTCCTCGCTACCCTTCGTGGCCCCGTTGCAGCCCTTCGTGGCCCCCTCGCTTTGTTTCGTGGCCCTGTTGCAGCCCTTCGTGGCCCCCTCGCTGCCCTTCGTGGCCCCGTTGTAGCCCTGCGTGGCCCCGTTGCAGCCCTTCGTGGCCCCCTCGCTGCCATTCGTGGCCCCGTTGCTGCCCTCAGTGGCCCCGTCCTTGCTCTCCGCGGCCCAACATACGTATGCCCTTCGTGGCCCCGCTCGTTCGCGCCCGTTGTGGCCCCATGTGCATGCCCTTCGTGGCCCCGCTGTCGCCGTTTGTGGCCCCTCACTGTCCTGCGTGGCCCAGTTGCTACCCTCAGTGGCCCCATCGTTGCCTTCTGTGGCCCCGCATTATCTGCCGTTCGTGGCCCCCGCTCGTTCGCGCTCTTCGTGGCCCCATACGCATTCCCTTCGTGTCCCCGCTGTCGCCCTTCGTGGCCTACTTCGTGTCCTTCGTGGCCCTGCTGTCGTTCTCTCTCGCTTTCGCTCGTCGTCGCCGTCGTCGTCGTCGTCGTTGTCGTCGCCGTCGTCGTCGACGTCCTCGTCGTCGTGGTCGGTCCCCTGCCGTCCCTCTTGGGTTCGGGTCGACGGTCCGCGGCCGCCCCGCCGATCAGCGCTGCCGCTGGCCAGGCCGACGGTCCGCGGCCGCCCCGCCGCTTGCCGGGGCCCGGCCTGCAGGAAAGACAGGTACACCCCCCAAAAAGGTCTCGATCGAAGACGAAGAGCGCGGGTATCGAGGATTTGGGAAATACGCGTTATTGGATTCTCGAGCAGATAAGGGCGAACAGTGTTAAAATGATCGTCGTTGTTGTTGTTTTGGTGGTGCTTCTTGGTCTCGTTGTTGAACTCTCACAACTGAAGAAATTGTTGTTGATCCCCCTTCCGGTAATATGCAAGTTTTTTAAAAAGTGAAGTGCCCCATCCAGGGTTCGCACCCGGTTTTTCATTGGGGAAATCTTCCTCACGCTGCGGCCCTGGCACCCGGACTAAACGGCTCCCGCCGGATGCCCCCTCTTTGCAATTTACTAAGCGTGCTCTCACTAAGGACGTCCTTGCAATTTGTCCAATGATCGCGCTGTCGCCTGCGGGTCCCTCGCAGTTTATTATGGTGCCACGCCCTCGCCGTTCAGGAATCGCGCTCTCGCCTGGGACTTCTTCATCATTTTCCTAGGAATCGCGCCCTCGCCCGAGACTTCCTGCCGAATGATGTAGGACTGACGTATTCGTGTGACATACATGTTTGTATACACTTGAGGTGCCCCACTGGGGGCTCGCAGTGTTTTTACCGGGGAAAGTCTTTCTGGTCAAACAGGGCTCCTGGCCCATGGTTTACAAAAACACTTGCTCCCGCCCGGCACGCCCTTGCAATTTATCGAAGAATCTCGCTCTCGCTAGGGACTTGCTTGCAATGTATGGAAGAGTCGGCCTCTCGCCTGATACGTCCTCGCAATTTACTCAGGCGTCGCGCTTTCGAGACTCGGGAATCGCGCTGTCGCCTGGGACTTCCTTGCGATGGATTCCAGCGCCGCGCCCTCGACAATCGGGAATCACGCTCTCGATCTGGGTTCCCTCACGAGATTTATTTCGGAACCGCGCCGACATTCAAGGCTTCCTCGCGATTCATGCAGGACGCACGCTTCAGCAGCCCGCCTGCTCGACCAGGCCGCCTGGGCCCGCCTGTTCAGGTCTACCCGCCCGATCTGCCCGTCTGGTTCTGCCACGTGTTTTCTGTTCCTAGCCCCCTCTCCTGCCTCGTGTTCCATCCTCGCCCCCCCCCTTTGTCCCTTCCTTCCATCCGTCCTCTCTTCCCCTGCCTTAGGTGCTGCCCGAAATACACGTTGCAGGTAAGAAAGATAGATTCCCAAGGGGGTACGATCGAAGACGACGAGGGTGGGTATCGAGGGTTCTGCGGCAGTCCGCATGGGACCTGCTTCGGATCCCGTAGGATTCTGCGGCAGTCCGTATGGAATCTGTATCGGATCACATGCAGGCCGCCTAGGATCTGTATCGGATTCCGTGCAGGCCGCATGGGATCTGCATTGGATCCCATCTAGGCGAAGGTTTCGGGTCCATTTCGGCACACCCATCACACAGTTCGTGGCCCCATAGGGCGCAGTCGAAGACTTCGGGTCGGGTCCACCTCGGCGCACCCTTCACATGGTTCGTGGCCCCACAGGGGGCGCCACCGAAGGTTTCGGGTCTATTTCGGCACACGCCTCAATCAGTTCGTTGCCCCACTGGAGGCGCAACCGAAAGTTTCGGGTCTATTTCGGCACACTCCTCAATCAGTTCGTTGCCCCACAGGGGGCGCAACCAAAGGATTCGAACCAATGGCGGCACACCCTTCACACAGTTCGTGGCCCCACAGGGGCCGCAACCGAAGGCATCGGGTCCATTTCGGCGCACCTTTCGCAGGGTTTCTGGCCTAACGGGGGGCACAACCGAAAGTTTCGGGCTCATGTCGGCTCAGTCTTCACACGGCTCCTGGCTCTACAGGCGTCGCAACTGGAGGTCCGGCTCATTTCGGCAGTTTTTCTCCATATGCATTTTTCAGTCCCCCATACCTTCTTCATCAGTTCCCATATTTTTCGCACATTGCCCCTGTCAGTTCCCATACATGTTCCATACCGTCCCCATCAGTTCACACACACACACACACACACACACACCTTCAGCATACCGTCCCGATCAGTTCCTGCACATGTCCCCTACCGTCCTGACTGGGTCGGGTACATTCCCACACCGCCCGTATCACTTCTTGACCTAATCCACCTGCCCAACATCGTCCCAGTCGGTCCAGTACCATATTTTCAGCGTTCCCAGTATGTCGTGTACCACCCCCATGGAGTTTCCAGCAGGTCCTGCACAATTCCCATAGCGTTCCCTGTAGGTCCTGTGCCGTCGCTATCGAGTGCCCGAGTTCCCATGTCCTGCACCATCGCTATAGCGTTCCCAGTGGGCCTTGTAACATCTTCATAGAGTTCCTGGCAGGTCCCGCGCCATCCATATGCAGTCCCCCGTAGGTCCTGAATCATCCCTATAGACTTCCCAGTCTGTCCTGACCCATGCCTGTGGAGTCCCCAGTAGACCTTGTTCCATCTCTATGGAGTCTTCAGGGGGTCCTGCACCATCTTCATAGACTGTCCAGCAGACCCTGTACCAACCCTATGGACGCACCAGTACATCCTGTACCACCAGTGTAGAGTTCCCAGTAGGAGCTATACCATCTCTATAGGATCCCCCATAGGTCCTGCACCATGTTTATAAGAATTCCCAGGCAGGTTGAGCACCATTCCTATAGAGTTCCCAGTAGGTCCTGTACCACCGCTATAGCGTTCCCATCAGGTCCTGTACCATCCTTATAGAGTTCCCAGTCGGTCCTGTACCATCTCTTTAGAGTTCCCAGCAGGTCTTGTACAATCCTTATCGGGTGTCAACACGTCGTGCACCATCTCTATAGAGTCCCCAGTAGGTCTTGTAACATCTCCATAGCGTGCCACATAGGTCCTGTACCATTGTTATAGTCCCCAGTCGGGCATGCACGATCTCTAGAGAGTTCCCAGTTGGCCCATCTCTATAAAGTTCCCCTCGTGTCCTGAAACATCTTTTTAGAGTTCCTGGCAGGTTCCGTGCCAGCCATGTAAAGTTCCCAATAGGTCCTGTACGGTCTCTATCGAGTTCCCAGTATGTCCTGACCCATGTCTGTGGAGTTCCCAGTCGGCCCTGCTCCATCTCTACAGAGTCTCCAGGAGGTCCTGTACCATCGCAATGGAGTCTCCAGCAGGTCCTGTACCACAGCTATACAGTCACAAGTCGGTCCTGTATCACCCCGATAGAGTGCACAGTACGTCCTGTCCCATCTTTTAGAGGGCCCCCAGTAGGTCCTGTCCCGTCGCTGTGGAGTTCCCAGTTGGCCGTGTTCCCGCTCTATAGAGTTGCCAGTGGGTCCTGTGATCTCTTCGTCGGGCTCCTGTGATATCTTCGTCGGGTCCCGTGCCATCTATACGAAGTGCCCAGTCGGTCCTGTACCACCCCTAACGAGCTAGTGACCGGGC